TCCCCACCAGCCCGTTCACGAACGATGCCCAGGGGAGCTGCGCTGCCCTTCTCGGGGGAGCGTGGCATCATTGGGAGAGCTCGGGGGGGGCCTTCTTGGGCCAGAGGCTTCTTGGATGCCTTTCGGAGTCTTCTGGGATATCTCTCGGGATCTCTAGGAGGCCTCCTGGCGGCTCTTCGGGGCCTTTTGGGGCGCCTGGGGGGCCTCTTGGAGGTCTCTTGTTAAGTCTTGTGGGCCTCTTGGCGGTCTAAAAAACAATCTGGGGGCTTCCTGGGTGCCCATTGGGAGACTCCTGGGGCATCTTGGATGCCTATTGAGGGTCGCTTTGGGGCTTCTCAGGGCCTTGTGGCCTCTCGGGCGCCTCGGGTCTCTCTTGGGAGTATTTCGGCGTCTTGTGGCCGTCTTGGAGGCGATCGATCAACGAAGGGGGGGTCCTGAATTAGCGACTCCCCCCGCAGGCCGAAATGGGCCCAACACCTCAATGGCAATTGCCTTTTCGCTGATGCCCTCTTGGGACCTCTAAGGACCCGCCGTCCCACCGTCCAGACTCAGGGGTAGGGGTAGGGGGAGGGGTCACGGTATTGACAAGCAACAAGCCGTCTCGTTCATTTCCACCCGCCCTCCCAACACAAAATAACACCTGAGTTTCAGCATAGACAGGGGCCGCCATTGACAACACGGTCGCCAGCCAGGTGCGCGACAACCGCGAGGTGCGTCGCACATGCCAGCTGCACCACGCGCACCAGGTACGCCACGTTGGGCAATATGCCGACCCTCCCACCGTCCCTGCCAAAAACAACTGCAGATTGACGGCGGATTTGCTGAGTGTGGGTGTGCGCGCTCACGGTCGTTGTGTGCACGTTTCCAACCATCTTGTGGTGTTGGGTTTTCGTTTTGAAATGACAGTGCCCCGCGTTCCTCACTCCTCCCCCTCCTCCCTCCTTCCATCCCTGCCCCTGCTCTCCGCATGACCATCCCGTGCCGGCACACCCCTCACACGTTTCGTGGCCCCATAGGAAGCTCCACAAAAAGGCCCCAGTGGCTGCGTCCACATGCGTCCGCACCAGGCGCCACCCATTTTGGGCACACCCCTCACTCGTTTCTTGGCCCCATAGGGAGCTCCACCGAAGGCCCCAGTGGCTGCGTCCACATGCGTCCGCGCAACCCATTTTGGGCACACCCCTCACTCGTTTCCTGGCCCCATAGGGAGCTCCACCAGTGGCTGCGTCCACATGCGTCCGCGCCACCAATTTTGGGCACACCCCTCACACGTTTCGTGGCCCCAGAGGCCATACAGAAGGCCCCAGTGGCTGCGTCCACATGCGTCTGCGCCACCCAATTTGGGCACACCCCTCTCACGGTGCGTGGTCGCATAAGGGAGCTCCACCGAAGGCCCCAGTGGCTGCGTCCACATGCGTCCGCGTCACCCATTTTGGGCACACCCCTCACTCGTTTCCTGGCCCCATAGGGAGCTCCACCGAAGGCCCCAGTGGCTGCGTCCACATGCGTCCGCGCCACCCATTTCGGCACACCCCTCACGCGTTGTCCCGCCCATGGGGTCCCGCCCAATGCCCTGTTCGCGGTAGGGCCCAGCCCATAGGGCCCAGCCATCAGAGTCCCGCGCCCGTTGCCTGTACGCAGGGGTTTTGCCTTAGTCCGGGTTTCCTAGGAGGGCCCAACATTGCCCTGTTCGGGGGGTTCAGTGCGTGGTTGCATAGAGTTTTGCCCATAGGATCTCGCACCCATACGATTCTGGCCTCAGTTGCCCTGTGGGATGGCTGTTGCCATGGACCTGTTTGCCCATACTGTCCCTCGCATGGGGTCCCGTCCGTGGTTGACCGGTTCACCCAGTTAGAAAGAGCGCGTTTTGTGGTCGTTTGGAGGGGGGGGGCCTTGGAACCGGACCCCCCCCCCCCCTTGATGGGGGGGGGGTTCGAACCCCCGCCCCCCCCCTCCCGGGACGAAGGGGGGTGGGTTCAACCCCCCCCCCCCTTGCTTCCCCTCTCCTCGGGCTGGCGCTTGCGTCGGCGGCGGCTGGCGACGGCGGCGGCTGGCGACGGCGGCGGGGACGACGATTTCCATTTCTGGGCCGGCGCTGGCCGGCGCCTGCGGCGGCGGGCGGCGGTGGCGGGGAGCGTCGACGAGGACGACGGTGGTGGTGGTGGTGGTGGTTGTGGTGGTGGTTGTGGTGGTGGTGGTGGTAGCGGTGGTGGTGGTTTGGTGGTGGTGGTGTGGTGGTTTGTTTTGGTGGTGGTGGTGGTGGTTGTGGCGGTTGGTGGTGGTGGCGGTGGTGGTTTGGTGGTGGTGTTGTGGTGGTGGTGGTGGTGGTGGTGGTGGGTTGTGGTGGTGGTGGTGGTGGTGGTGGTGGTGGTGGTTGTGGTTGTGGTGTGGTGGTGGTTTGTGGTGGTAGTGGTGGTGGTGGGTTGTGGTTGTGGCGGTGGTTTGTGGATGTGGTGCTGGTGGTGGTGGTGGCGGTGGTGGTGGCGGTGGTGTGGTGTTTTGTGGTGGTGGTGGTGGGTTGTGCTGCTGGTAGTGGAGGTGGTTGTGGCGGTGGTGGTGGTGGTGTGGTAGATTGTGGTGGTTGTGGTGGTAGTGGTGATGGGTTTTTGTGGTGGTGGTGGTGATGATGATTTGTGGTGGTGGTGGTGGTTGTGCTGCTGGTGGTGGTGGTTGGTGGTAGTGGTGGTGGTGGGTTGTGGTGGTGGCGGTGGTTTGTGGACGTTGATTGTGGTGGTGGTGCTGGTGGTGGCGGTGGTTTTGGTGGTGGTGGTGTGGTGGTTTGTGGTGGTGGCGGTGGGTTGTGCTTCTGGTGGTGGTTGTGGCGGTGGTGGTGGTGTGGTAGATTGTGGTGGTAGTGGTGGAGGGTTTTTGTGTTGGTGGTGGTGGTGGTGATGGCGAGTTGTGGTGGTGGTTGTGGTGGTGGTGGTGGCTGTGGTGGTGGTGGTTGTGTGGTGCTGTTGGTGGTGGTGGTGGTTGTGGCGGTGGTGGTGGTGGTAGTGGTGGTGGTGGTGGTAGTGGTGGTACTCGTCGCTGCGTCCCCGCCGTCGCCGGCGCCAGCGCCTGCGCCGACGCGATGGGGGGGGGGGTTGGACCCCCCCCCCGTGAGCTGCCTCTGGTCATCGTCGCTGCGTCCCCGCCGTGGGCGTTGCTGGCGGCCGCCAGAGCCGGCGCAGGCGGTAGGGCCGAGGGAGGGGGTGGGTTCGAGAGGGGGGGGGGTTGGGAGGGACGGGAGTCCCCTTGGTTTTGATCGACGGCGCCGAATGCTGGGGGGCCACCCCCCAGTTTGAAACGCGTCGCCAAAGGTTCCCAAGGCAAGCGCCCGTGAAACGCGTTCTCTCCCCAGTTAACGTCCTGTTGAATAAGGCACGACTGCTCAGCCGAGATGGCGTGGAAGTTTTATGGGGTTCATTCGGACACATGCGAACACTTCTTGCATAGCACGGAGGCTTGTATATTGGCCACACAGGGGTTCATTGATGGACAGCTACCAATTGGAGTGAACTTGTTTTTTGGTTGTGTGATGGTTTCGTTTTTGTTTTGATGTTGGGAGACAGCGTAAAATGAGTCCTTGCCCTATGGACGAACCTGTAGGTACGTTATGCTGTGGGTAGACAGTGGGAGCCGATACGTCTGCCGAAGTGCAGCCGCATGCACAGCAGTGGCGTCTTGTCTTTTGACAGGACGATGTGTAACGCGTGAGTGCCACGAGTGTGATTGTTTAGCCGAGTCGGGCTGCTTCTCGGTTTTGGGCAATGTGCAAAGTGGATTTCTGATATCAGAGTTTTTTGCTGCGACGACAGAAGCCAAGAACTTTATGGCAGCACGCGTACCGAATACGTATGTTTGATACGCGAAGGGGCGTTCGCTAGTTTTGGCGCTCGGACGGAGCCTCATTCTCACCGTCTCGTTTCCCCGTCTTTGTCCACATCCACATCCTGCTCCTCATCTCGGTTCTCATCCTCATCCCCACACTCAGAAATTTGACGATAAGATCTTTTCAGCGCGCGGCCCCAGAGGTCCCAGGAAAGCCACCAGGATTTCAAGCATATGTTTGGCTTTTGTGCCTCTTGTGTCGGATGTCCTCCAATAAGAGAGACGTGGGCCGCATGATCGTGGACCTTGATACCGAAGCGAAGAAGTACGGCCTGAAACTGCACATGGGCAAAACCGTGGACCAACTCAGCAGCGAGGCCGGCAACCATCCGATGCGCCGGCAACGATGTGCGAGTGTTGCGGCCAGGGGAGGCGGAAAAGTACCTCGGCCGCAGGTTCACACCTTGGACGACTACCACGGGGTGGAGCTAAACAACCGCATCTCGTTTGCACGGTAATCTTTTTGCAGCCAGAAAAGTATACTATGCAATCGACGCGCACCCCTTCGTGATCGCATGAGGCTCTGTCATGATGCCGTTGCACCCCGCGCAGTGTACGGCTGTTCTGTTTGTACTGTGACAATCGAGCAGGAGAGGCGCCTTCGCGCAGCGCTGAGGAAGATGCTGCGACACATGGTCGGCTTGGGGCGCCAGCCAGACGAGCAATGGGTGGAATACGCGCGCAGGGCAACGGCCGTGTGCGAGTCATTCGCACGGAGACATGGGGCCCAAGACTGGACAGACATCCCCTGGAAAAGCAAGTGGTCGGCTGCCGTCAAATTTGCTGCAGTGCAAGATGCATGATGGGGCGCGCGACTGATGAAGTGGGTGCCGTGGTTTCGAGTACATGGCGCGTCGAAGCGTAGGGGCCCAGCGCAAACGCTGGTGTGATTGATCCTTGCCAGGCGCCGCCTGTTATGTCTCATCTGTTTCACACACACCCCGGATAATTTTTCCACGCCGCGCTGATTTGTTTTCCGGCCCGGCGCACTGCCGGGGGGGGGGGCCCGCGCCGCCTCCCTACGGGCCGCTGCTCTCTCTCTCTCTCTCTCTTTTGCTCGTTCGCTCGCTCCTCTCCCCGTTTCTCTCCCTGCCCCCTCTGAGCCCGCTCTCCTGCACGCGCGCCAGGCACGGACACTCTGACCTTCTGCGACAGCCACGACAACCCTGGTTGCCATGCCGCGGATGGCAGCACACTTACGGCGCTCCGATGATGCTGATGTTGGGGTATAATGTAGCATTATGCCTGGGCGAGCAGGATGTGCTAGAGTGAGGAGCAGACGGATGCCGTTACGGACGCCGTTTGGCTGAAGTGAGGATCCACTGCGCGCGCAACATAGATTCGTTATTGTGCAAACTTTTCTTAGGAGTGTGCAGGACAGGGAGGTGAGGGAGAAGGAGACGGAGAGGATGAAAACAAAAACATTGGCGTTTTCTTGCTTTGTCTGGGCGGCAGAAGGTTTGCCAGGGTTTGGATCGGATGAAAAGGGGGACGGAGAGGGAGGGAGTGAGAATCCTGCTTCGTGCAGTTGGTTTCGGCTCCCCGCCGGGCGTTTTCCTCGATACACTGGCGCCTCCGGCGCCAGGAAAACAACAAAAATCAATTACGTGCGCTGATGCGATGACTCTCTTCTGTCGCCCCCGTCATTTCTGTCCGACCCGACAGGTGCGAGGCCAGCCGTTCGGGATGTCGACCCACCAGACGACGTATCCGTTCCGTATCCTCGGAGGCACGCGCCATCCCGCCGCCTTGGCGGGTCGAAGGGGGCCTCCACGGCCCCATCGGCCACGTTCGCCCGCCCTCTAGTCCCCCCCCGGTGGGGATCTTCCCGCGCAGACTCGCGCACCCTTACGCGTAGACTTGCAATACACATCGTAAGAACGAGTAGCCCGCGAGGGGTGCCATTGCGTTATTCACTTGCGGCCCATCCTTGCGTCAACGTGGACGTCCAAGAGCTTCGCATCCATGCTGCACATCATTACGATATGGTCGCGTTGCTCAAGTGGCGCTTGCCCAGTCCTTGCACATCGGGCACAGAGGTGCAACCAAGGATGTTGGGAGCATGTTCGAAACACAATCCACAGTGGGCATGCAACGTTTTTCCCTTGCAAATGTGTTGGTACATGTGTTGCCCAATTTTGCTTAATAAGCATGCCTGAACACCAATGTATTTGTGAATGGGCTAGGCAAGCCCGTTGATTCATCATGTCTAGACCACTTGTTGATGCTTCGCGTATCCCCACCAGCCGGCTGGCGCGTAGCTGTTGCCTTGCGCGTCGCATCTGCTTTAATTTTCTCTCGCGTTTCCTCAGCCTAATTAATCTCTGCGTAGCCGGTTTTGACCTGACTCGCCGCCGGCGCGCTCGCCCGCGGCCGTTGACTAAAAGTATCCCCGCCAGCGTTAATTAAGTTCGCTCGTAGCTCGAGCTGAATTGTGACGCCGTCGGCGCCGTCGCTTGCGGCTGCGACGGAAAAAAGCCCCACCAGCGGTCAGCCATATGTGTCTGTCCCCGGTGGCCTGCTGCCTGGAACGTTGGTCTGATTGTGCAGCCCCGCGCTTCGCCACGCTTGGTGGCGCGTCGACCTCTGGCGGCTGGTGCGACAAGATTCAATTCATCCTCTTCCCGGTGTTCCTGCCTCTGGGATGCCCGCACACTGGCCGCCTGGCGTTCCTGGCAGCTTTCCCAGTCTGTCTCCAGCCCCCGGTGCCCCTCAGCCTCCCTCGGCGGCAGCCTCGGCAGCTGTGGGTGCGTCAGTTGGGCACTTGGGCTTCGCCCGTAGTCCGGGTTGACCTCTGACGCTGCCTGCGCCTTCGCTTGCGGCTGCGATCGAAAAAGTATCCCCACCAAACCATCCAGAAACGATGCCCATGAGAGTTAGGGGTGACCAGGGAAGTGTAGCAGCAAGCTAGGGGGCAGCCGTTATTTGTCGAATGAGGGGGATGATGGAGGCGTATATGGAGGAGGAGGAGGGGGAGGAGGAGGAGATAGAAGGAGAAGGAATAGGTAGATGAGAAGCAGCAGGAGGAGGAGGAGAAGGAGGAGGAGGAGGAAGAAAACGAAGAGAAGGCCAGAAGTCTCTTGGACGCCCGGGGGTTGCCTTGGAGGCCTCTTAGGCCGTTTTGGATGCCTCTTGGCGGTCTCGGGGGCCCGTTGAGGCGTCTGGGGCGGCATCTTGGCGGGCCCAGGGCCGTCTTTGAGCGTCTTGGGTGCTTCGGGGATCCTTTTGAGGCCTCTTGGAGGTCTCTTGGGAGCCTCTTGGAGGCCCTCTGGGCGCCTCTTGCAGCGCCTGTTGGGGTCTTCTTGGGGCGCTCTCTGGATATTTTGGGACGCTCTTGGAACCATCTTGGAAGACATCGTCACAAACAGAGGGGAGCTCTTTTTAGCACTGCCCTTCTAGAGTGCCTACAATGGTTTCTTGGGGCGCTCTTGGGGCGCTCTTGGGGCGCTCCTGGTTGCTCCTGGGGCCGTCCTGGGGCTCTCTCGGGCCCCTCTCGGGCCCCTCTTGGGGCCCTCTCGGGCCATCTCGGAACCATCTTGAGGCCTCGGAAGGCCATCGGAATAGAAAATGCGAGAAAGCAACGAAGGTCTCTTGGAGCATCTTGGAAGCCATCTTGAGCGACCTTGCGCTATCTTCAACCATGTGCTCTCTGAGGCGCTTTTGGAGCCGTCTTGGGCCATCTTGGACGCTCTAACGCCTCGCGACCCCCCCCGTCCAAGTTCAGGGGGAGGGGTAACGGGGAGGGGTAAGCCCCTCCCCGAAGGGGAAGAAGGGGTCTGGAAGAGAAAACTCTCCAGACCACCTACGCCCAGAGGGCTGGTGGGAATTGTAGGACTTCGGTTTTTCATATGTGAGTGCAAGGTCGCTGGCAGGACCTAGCGCCGCAGACTACATGTATAGACACGTAGCACCCCGCAGATGTGGATAAGAGCGGCGTGTCCCCGGTTCCGTTCGGTTCGTTTTGGTTCTGGGGAAGTTGGTTCGGTTCAATACGGTTCCGTTTTCGGAGCTGTTTGAGGCGGTTCCCATTCAGAGGGCGATTCCGTTTCAGCCGGTTCCAGTTCGGTTCTCGGTTCTTGCAGATGACGTGTGCGCGCGTGCGTCTACATGATCATATGGAGGCGTTTGGAGGTGCAGTTCAACCAGGAGTCACGAGGAACCCTGGGGCCAGGGGAGCCACTGGGCCCAGCCACCCGACGAGCCAGGGGAGCCACTGGGCCCAGACGTTACACATGATGCTCTCCACGGACCAGTCGACAGCATCGTGCCCCCTGGACCAGGGGGCTCTGGCGACGGCGAGCGGTTTCTCAGCGCCAGGATAGAAAACGCTTGGACTACGGTCTGGGACAGTACGGACCACTCATTCCTGGCATGGGTCATCCCAAAGGACAACTGGGAAGGCAAGGGCTCCGCCCGCGCCCTCGCCGGGCGCGCGCAGGATGACGGGGGCCCAGCCCCGGCCGCCGTCCCCAGTTCGGCCCTGGAGGCCCCGAGGGCCCCTGGAAACCCAAAGCGCATTTTCGAACCGTCCAAAAATGCGATTTGAGCTTTTCGCCGCCCTCCCGTCCCCAGCGCAGCCTTGGAGGCTCCGAAAACCACCTGGAGGCCCAGAGCGAATTTTCGAACCGTCCAAAAATGCGATTTGAGCTTTTCCGCCGCCCTGCCATGCCCAGAGCAGCCTTGGAGGCTCCGAAAACCACCTGGAGGCCCAGAGCGAATTTTCGAACCGTCCAAAGATGCGATTTGAGCTTTTTCCGCCGCCCTCCCGTCCCCAGGGCAGCCTTGGAGGCTCCGAAAACCACCTGGGGGCCCGAAGCGAATTTTCGAACCGTCCAAAAATGCGATTTGAGCTTTTCCGCCGCCCTTCCGTCCCCAGTGCAGCCCTGGAGGCTCCGAGAACCACCTGGGGGCCCAAAACGCATTGTCGAACCGTCCAAAAATGCGATTTGAGCTTTTCCGCCGCCGTGCCATCCCCAGAGCAGCCTTGGAGGCTCCGAGAACCACCTGGAGGCCCAAAGCGCATTTTCGAACCGTCCAAAAATTCGACTTGGGTTTTTCCGCCGCCCTTCCGTCCCCAGTTCGGCCCTGGACAAGCAGCAGAACCGGGCGAGGGAGCTCGGGGGCGCAGGGGAGGAGTTGGGAGCGGGCGGCATGGACCTAGCGCAAGAGTGGGCCCTCGCATCGGGCAGTTCCCAAGGGTCCATCTCCACGACCGGTTCCCGGTTCGGTTCCCGGTTCGGGCCCGATTCGGTTCCACCACCTCCGGTTCGGTTTGGTTTCGGTTCGCGTCGGGTTTCTGACGGGTTCCGGTTCCGTCGGTTCTCCGTCGGTCGGTTCGGTTCTGCGGTTCGCGGCTCGGTTCTGTGGTTCACTGTAAGAGTCAGGGGGCGGTGGGGGCGTCCGCAGTTTTGCGAGACTCTGGAGAAGCCCGCCGCAGGCGCCAAAGTTACACAAGTTATATGAAACACCCCGCAGATGCGGATAAGAGTGATGGGGCGTCGGGGGCGTCGGCAGTTTGCGAGACTCTGGAGAAGCCCGCCGCAGGCGCCAAAAGTTTCACAAATTATGTAACGAGCCCGCCGCAGGCGCCGAATTCATTCGTTAAACCAATGTGGGTAGGTCGCGGGTGGGTCGCGGGTGGGTCGCGGGGTGGGTCGCGGGTGGGTCGCGGGTGGGTCGTGGGTGGGTCGCGGGTGCAGAGGGCAGAACATCCACCCCATAATGATCACCCCGACAAGCGAACCTGCTTAGGAAACGTACGCAAGGAACGGATCGAACAGGGCAGGGTTGTTGAGTCAACGCCCAGGGCCGCTTTAGTAAAAATCGTTTGTCGGGCCCGGGTGGTTTTTTCTCCATTGAGGGTGGGTCGCGGGTTGGGTCGCGGGTGGGTCGCGGAGTGGGTCGCGGGTGGGTCGCGGGGTTGGTCGCGGGTGGGTCGCTGTTGGGTCGCGGGTGGGTCGAGGGGTGGGTCGCGGGTGGGTCGCTGCTGGGTCGCGGGTGGGTCGCGGGGTGGGTCGCGGGTGGGTCGCGGGTTGGGTCGCGGGTGGGTCGCGGGGTGGGTCGCGGGATGGGTCGCGGGGTGGGTCGCTGGGTGGGTCTCGGGGTGGGTCGCGGGGTGGGTCGCGGGTGGGTCGCGGGTGGGACGCCGACAGCAACAAACAACAATAACGACAACAACAACGCACAAACACAACTGTCACCACGAATTCGTCATTCAGCCACGCACCCAGGGACAATGAATGACCGTTCGGCCCCCTCACTCCCTGGCTGCGTGGCTGAATAAGGAAGTCGTGGTGAGAATTCTGCTTGCTGCGTTGTTGGTGTTGTTGTTGTTGTTGTTGTTGTTGCTGCTGCTGTTGTTGTTGAAATCTCATTCTTGAAGAATAATTATTGTTGATCCCCCCCCACCGGTGCACATTGATTTTTTTGATTGAAGTGCCACCCCCGGGGCTCGCACCTTGTTTTTTCTCAAGGAAAGTCTTCCTGCTCAAACTGTGCCCCTGCCCCCCGGGCTACAACAACAACGGCTCCCGCCTGAGACTTCCTCGATTTTTACTCTGGACCCCCGCTCCCGCCTGAGACTTCCGCGCAATTTACTCAGGAAAGGCGCTCCCGTCTGAGACTTCCTCGCAATGTAATCAAGACCCCCGCTCCCGCCTGAGACTTCCGTGCAATTTACGTGGGAACGGCGCTCCCGCCTTGGACTTCTTCGAATTTTATTCAGGACCCCCGCTCCTGCCTGACATTTCCGCGCAATTGACTCAGGAACGGCGCTCCCGCCTGAGACTTCCTCGCAATTTAGTGAGGACCCCCGCTCCCGCCTGAGACTTCCGTGCAATTTGCTCAGGAACGGCGCTCCCGCTTGAGACTTCCTCGCAACTTAGTCAGGGCCCCCGCTCCCGCCCGAGATTTCCTCACAATGTACTCAGGACTGCGCTCTCGCGTGCGACGTCCTCACAAATTATTCTGGAATTGCGTTTCGGCGCTCAGGAACCACGCACGCGCCAAGGACGCCTTCACAACGTGGTATCTTCCCTCTTCCTTCGTCCTTCCCCCTCCCCTTCCTCCCACTCTCCCTCGTTCTTTCCCCTCCTCCTCTTGCAGGGCCCGCGCCAATTCCAATGGCGGGCAGAGAGATGTACGCCCCCGAAGGATTGTCCGCCCGTTCCGGTTTGCCCGTACGTCTAAGCCCGCCGGCCCCAGCAAAGAGAAATAATCCCCCCGAAAGGGGTGTGATCGAAGACGAAGAGGGCGGGTTTCGAGGGTGTAGGGTATACGTGTTGAATGACTCGCGGGCAAGTAAGAGCGTACAGCCTTAAAATGGTTGTTGTTGTTGTTGCTGTTGCTGTTGTCGTTGTCGTTGTCGTTGTCGTTGTCGTTGTCGTTGTCGTTGTCGTTGTCGTCGTCGTTGTCGTTGTCGTCGTCGTTGTCGTTGTCGTTGTCGTCGTCGTTGTCGTTGTCGTTGTCGTTGTCGTTGTTGTTGTTGTGGTTGTTGTTGTTGTTGTTGTTGTTGTTGTTGTTGTTGTTTTTGTTTTTGTTTTTGTTTTTGTTGTTGCTGTTGAACTCTCACTCTTGAAGAATAATTATTGTTGATCCCCCCACCGGTGCACATTGTTTTTTGTTCAATTGACGTGCCCCCCCGGGGCTCGCACCCTGTTTTTGGACAAGGAAAGTCTTCCTGCTCAAACTGGCCCCCTGGCCCCCGGGTTACAACAACAACAACAACAACAACAACAACAACAACAACAACAACAACAACAACAACAACAACAACGGCTCCCGCCTGAGCCTTCCTCACAATTTAGCCAGGATCCCCGCTCCCGCCCCAGACTTCCTCGCATTTTATTCAATAATCGCGCTCTCGCTCGGGACTTCCTTACGATTTATTCCGGAATCGCTCCTCCTGCGCTCTGGAGTCGCGCTCTCGCTGGAGACTTGGCTTGCAAGCTACTGAAGAATAGCGCCCTTGCGTTGGATTTTTTTGCAATTTACTCCAGCGCCGCGCTCCCGACACCCAGGCACCCAGGAGTCGCGCTCACGCTTAGGACTCCTTCGCAGATTACCTAGGAATCGGGATCTCGCTGCCCTTCGTGGCCCCGTTGCAGCCCTTCGTGGCCCCCTCGCTTTGTTTCGTGGCACCGTTGCAGCCCCTCGTGGTCCCCTCGTTTTGTTTCTTGGCACCGTTGCAGCCCCTCGTGGCCTCCTCGTTGCCCTTCGTGGCCCCGTTGCAGCCCTTCGTGGCCCCCTCGCTTTGTTTCGTGGCCCCGTTGCAGCCCTTCGTGGCCCCCTCGCTGCCCTCCGTGGCCCCGTTGCAGCCCTTCGTGGCCCCGCTGTCGCCCTTCGTGGCGCCCTCGCTGCCCTTTGTGGCCCCGTTGCAGCCCTTCGTCGCCCCCTCGCTTTGTTTCGTGGCCCCATATATGTATGCCCTTCGTGGCCCCCGCTCGTTCGCGCCCGTGGTGGCCCCATATGCATGCCCTTCGTGGCCCCGCTGTCGCCCTTCGTGGCGCCCTCGCTGCCCTTCGTGTCCCCGTTGCTGCCCTCAGTGGCCCCGTCCTTCCCCTCCGCGGCCCAACATACGTATGCCCTTCGTGCCCCCCGCTCGTTGGCGCCCGTTGTGGCCCCATTTCCATGCCCTTCGTGGCCCCGCTGTCGCCGTTTGTGGCCCCCTCATTGTCCTACGTGGCCCAGGTGCTACCCTCAGTGGCCCCATCGTTGCCTTTTGTGGCCCCGCATTATCTGCCCTTCGTGGCCCACGCTCGTTCGCGCTCTTCGTGGCCCCGTACGCATTCCCTTCGTGTTTCCGCTGTCGCCCTTCGTGCCCTACTTCGTGTCTTTCGTGGCTCTGCTGTCGTTCTCTCTCGCTCTCGCTTTCGCTCGTCGTCGTCGTCGCCGTCGCCGTCGTTGCCGTCGTCGTCGACGTCATCGTCGTCGTCGTGGTCGGTCCCCTGTCCGTCCCTCTTGGGGTCGGGTCGACGGTCCGCGGCCGCCCCGCCGATCAGCGCTGCCGCTGGCCAGGCCGACGGTCCGCGGCCGCCCCGCCGCTTGCCGGGGCCCGGCCTGCAGGGAAGAAAGGTATACCCCCCAAAAGGGGTTCGATCGAAGACGAAAAGGGCGGGTATCGAGGGTTTGGGAAATTCGCGTTGTTCGACACTCGAGCTGATGAGGGCGAACAGTCTTAAAATGATAGTTGTTGTTTGTTTGTTTGTTTGTTTGTTTTTTTGTTTGTTTGTTGTAGTCGACCCACCCGCGACCCACCCGCGACCCACCCCGCGACCCATCCCGCGACCCATCCCGCGACCCAACCCGCGACCCACCCCTCGACCCACCCGCGACCCAACCCGCGACCCACCCGCGACCCACCCCGCGACCCACCCCTCGACCCAACAGCGACCCACCCGCGACCCACCCCGCGACCCACCCGCGACCCACCCCGCGACCCACCCGCGACCCAACCCGCGACCCACCCGCGACCCGCCCCGCGACCCGCCCCGCGACCCACCCTCAAGGGAGGAACAGCCACCCGGATCCGACAATCGAGTTTTATTAAAACTGCCTTGGGCGTTGGGTAATCAGCCCTGCCCTGTTCGATTCATTACTTGCGTGCTTTTACTAAGTGGCTTCGCTTGTCGGGGTGATTCTTATGGGGTGGATGTTCTGCCCTCTGCACCCGCGACCCACCCGCGACCCACCCGCGAGACCCACCCGCGACCCACCCCGCGACCCACCCGCGACCCACCCGCGACCTATCCACATTGGTTTAACGAGAAAATCGGCGCCTGCGGCGGGCTCGTTACATAATTTGTGAAACCTTGGCGCCTGCGGCGGGCTTCTCCAGAGTCTCGCAAACTGCCGACGTCCCCACCGCCCCCTCACTCTTATCCGCATCTGCGGGGTGCTACGTGTACGCAAGTGTCGACCAACCAATCGTTTTCGAAGAGTTGGGCGCAGCATCAATGGACATCCTACTGTGCTTGAGTATCTCAATTTGAAACCATTGTGGTTTTGGATGGTTACGACGCGATTTCCATATTTCTGGTATCCTACCATGCGACACTGCCCCAGAGGTTCGCGTGGACGCCAACGATTGCCTCTGAGCTCCACTCCCTCGGAGAGGTGCGAATGATTACACCTGGGCGCTGCCACTGTCCTCCCCCAAGAGGATGTTGGGGCTCTTTGTAGGGCCTCCGTGCCGTTGGGGGGTTTGGGCCCATTTGGCGCGCCGTGGCACGCCTCAGAGGGCTCCAAGTTCCTGCCAAACTGTCCCATCAAGGCCCCCAGAGAATTCCTAGCGAGCCTCTCAGGGCTCAACATTCGCAAATAACCCCCAGACGTCCCCAAGCGGGTCCCAAGCGGAACCCCAGCTGGCCAATTTCAGTCCAACACCAAATGAGTTCTTTTGCCTTTTGGACACTTGTGCGACTCCCAGCTTTTTGGACGAAGAAGAGGGTCTCGGAGACGCCGATGCGCGTCTAGAGAGGCGCCCAGTGGACCCCCAAGATGGCTTAGGGCCGCTTCAGGAGTGCCCCACGACTGCCCCGGAAGGCTTCACAAAGGCCCCAAGACTGCCCCACAAGTTTCCCGAGATGTCCCAAGAGGGCTCCAAGGTGGCTTCACGAGAGCCTCAGATGACCCCGATATGGCCACAGGGCCGCCAGAGGGCAGTAAAATCGGTGGTGTGCCATGGCAGCTCCAATAGGGGATCCCAGTGTGGCCCCTGATGCTTGAAGGGCCACGCGCGTCTGCCCTAAATTGCGGCCGCGTTCCCTGTTCCGTGCAGAGCGGGACAATCGCAGCCTGGCGGCGGCGTGCAACATCTTCTGCCGTGGCCTCCCCTCCCCGGGAGGGGCGACGGGTTCTGCCTTTTGACGGGATCATGGGGCTTGCCCCGTCCGCGAGCAAGAACTCAGTGCTGGCCCAGCTGAAGGCCGCCAAGTCTTTGCACCGCAACGTCATGGGGGTGTACCTTTCCCAGGAGGGGCCTGCGGGAGGGGGGGCAACAAAAAGGAAAGCGGGGGAATGGGGAAGGATAAGTATTGATGGGGATGAGGATGACGATGGGGATGGGGATGGCGATGGTGATGATGATTATGATGATGATAATGGTGATGGTGATGGTGCTGATGATGATGAGGATGAGGATGAGGAGGATAATGATAATGATGATGATGATGATGATGATGATGATGATGATGATGATGATGATGATGATGATGATGATGATGATGGTGATGGTGATGGTGATGGTGATGGTGATGATGATGATGGTGATGATGATGGTGATGGTGATGCTGATGCTGCTGCTGCTGATGATGATGATGATGATGATGACGATGACGATGACGATGACGACGATGATGATGATGATGATGATGATGATGATGCTGATGATGATGATGATGATGATGATGATGATGCTGATGCTGATGCTGATGCTGATGCTGATGCTGATGATGATGATGATGATGATGATGATGGTGATGGTGATGGTGATGGTGATGGTGATGATGGTGATGGTGATGGTGATGGTGATGGTGATGCTGGTGGTGGTTGTGGTGATGGTGATGACCGTGTTGATGACGATGACGATTATGCTGATGTTGATGGCACTGTCTTTGACTGGAATGAGAGCGAGTGGGAGTTGCGAGCTGGGAAGCGACCGCGGCCCATTTATGCTCATAGTTTTTCTCCCGGTTTCTGTGAGCGATCTCCTTCAGACTGCCGCACGGGACATCGGGCGCGGCGCGGTCGCTGGCGACGTGGCCAGCTGGACCGCCGCCGGCGGCGGTGGGGATCCCTGCCCGCTTCCGGTGCCGTGCCCACCTCCACCCCTCTGCCCCAACTTGACCTGCCCGACGCCGGAGCTGGTCTGCCCGCAGGCGCTGTGCCCGCCTTGCCCCGGGCTCAGCTGCCCAGACGAGCCACCGTGGGCGGGCCTCGCGCTGGTGCTGGCGGGGAACGTGGTCGTGGCGGCGTGTTGCGGCTACCTCGTTGGCGCGAGGCGCGGCGGACAGCATGGCGGTGGCTCCAGCAGCCCTATGCGGAGGCATGCTCTCCGCGGTGGCGGCGTCATTGAGAAGCCTGACGCCCGTCTCAAGGATCCTCGTACGCTACGTAGACGCAGGGGAGGACCTGCTGCATGAAAGGGTGTGCTTGCGGCCAGTGACGGACGTGGAGTGGGTCACGGAGTCGCCCGACGATGTCCAGGTGGCCGAGGAGCTGTTCGGCGCCGACACCAAGGAGTTCGTGGTGCTGGTGCCTGGCGGGGCGGTGTTTGGGCATGTGACGTCGCCACGGTACCAGTTCTGCGATGAGATGGGCCCGCGGGCCCTCAGGCTTAAGATGATGGAAGCGAAGCAGTTGGTGAGAGCCACGCTGCGCCCCGAAGACGGAGTGGTCGCCGCGGCGCCGTTCGCCCAGCTGTGGGACGGCCAGGTGGTGGCGACGGACGACCTCTGGGGTGGTGGCGGTGTTGTGCCGCCCCCGCGGCGGCTCCGGGGCAGGCAGGAGGGCTTGAGCGGCGACGCGTGGCTGGGGGCTGACGGCGGAGTCCCCGACGTAGTGCAAGGGACCGCTACCCCCCTGTTGGAAGAGGACAACCGCGTCGCGGCGCCGGCCCTGGTGGAGGACGAGGCTGACTACCGCTGGGTCGTCGGCAAGCCAAGCGACCTGTTCCTGGCCGGCACCGAGTTCGCCGGGGCGACGATCCTGATGGAGAAGGAGGCCTGCCGCCTAGACGACCGCATCCTGCGGGCTGTGTCGAGCACTCCGGTGTCTGGCAAGGCCGACGAGGGTGTGGCGGTGCTGTACAGGATCAGCGTCTACGACGTGGACGGGTTCGCGGATCGGCGGTGGAAGCAGATCTCCTCTCTGATGCCCAATCCCTCGGCTAGCGTCGGTAAGTTGACCCAGGGCCAGGGCGCGACTCGACCGACGAGGTGGACGTTGACGTGCGGACCCTCGCCATGTTGTGCGACGAGTAGGACGAGCGCTTCCGCTTGTGGAAGGAGGCAGTGGGGAAGATGCACGGGAGCATCTACGAGGACAGGCCCGTCGAGGAGCCTCGCGCTATGCTGTGGATGGCAAAGAACATCGAGCGGACAGGCGGCTCCCCGATGCAGTGGTATCACAAGTACTTGACGGAGAACCGTATCGCCGCCTCAGATCCGCTTACGAGCTCCAGGCGCTGTGTAGACTCCTCGAGCACGCGGGGTGCGGCGACCAGCTCAACTTCGCCTCGCTGGCCGCGTTCGAGGTTCTGGCAAGGAGGGCGCAGCGGCTGCTGGACGCGGCCAGTCGCGGGCCCGTGGAGGGCCGTTTCGAGGGCGAGGAGCTGCGGTCGGGGCACCGCCAGCAGAGGACCGCGGGGATCGCCCCCGCCCCGAAGGCTCACGTCACCAACCGCACGAAGGGGAATGCTGATATTGAGAAGCAGCGCCAGAGGGCCCGAGAAGTGCGCGCCGCCGCCGCGAATCCCGGGGCAAAGCCGGACGCCGAACGTGGGGCTGGAGGCGCGGCTGAGAGTTAGATGTGCGACGGCGGCTTGCAGGGGCCCCGCTGCAGGCCGCGTCTCCCTCAGAGGGGCAGCGCCCTCGGGCGCGTTTTTGGCGCTCGGTGTGACGTTCGTGGTCGTGCTGAGCTACCTCATCTTTTTCACGATGCAGTCCGAGCTCTTCCCCTTGCCGTCGCTGGTGGAGGAGGGGCCTTGCCGTGCTGGGCTGAGCCGAGGGGTGCGTCAGCGGGTCGCCCGCCGCCATGCCGTCTTTCACCGTGCCAACGACGCCATCGACGCTTTGAACTGGCTGAGTGGGTGTGGAGAGAAGGCGCCCCCCGTCGGCGCGTGCTCCCGGGCTCAGTTCGAGGCCGCCCGGCATGTGCGGAGCGTGATGCAGCGCTCTCAGGCGATTGATATCGCACCCCGTCCGGATGAAGCCGCCCGCGCGCTTCTGCGCCCCCGAGCCGGCTACGACTCGGATGAGCACATCGTCAGCGACTGCCAGGAAGAGCTGTTGTCGGTGCCCTCCTCGTGCAAGGACTGTCCGCGCGCGGTGGGCGTCGCGCCGGCTGAGGCTGCATCTATGCAGGTAGACTTTTTTTTCAACCGGCTGGAGTCTATTGGAGTCTTGCGGTGGTGCGCCACGTGCAATGGGCGTGCCGCCGTATTCTGCGCCAAGAAGAAGTCGGGGAATCAGCGGCTGGTTGTGGGCGCTCGCCGCATCAATCGCCGATTTCGAGACCCTCCTGGAGTGGGGCTGGCGACCGCCGAGTCCCTAGGTTTGGTCGAGGTCGACGACGACGCCGAGATCTCTGTCAGCGCGGGGGACGTGCGGGGCGCCTCCTACCGCTTCAAGGTCGATGTGGAGCTGAGCCGGTACTTTGCGCTGCCGCCCCCGCGGGCGGAGGAGCTCGGCGTCCGCGAGGCGGAGGGGGAGTGGCTGTCACCAGACCGCTGGGTGCACCCCTGCGTCGCGGTGCTCACGATGGGGTTCAAGTGGTCGCTCTACCTCGTGCAGGAGGCGGTCGCCAAGCAGGTGGAGACCGCCGCGGGCGTGCCCGCGGACCGTCGGCTGCAGACGTTCGGCGGCTCGCGCCTGATCACCTCCGGCGGGCAGCTCCCCCACTATGTCTACGTGGGCAACGTGGGTTTCTTGGGCAGCCAGCGCAAGGAGGTGCAGACTCTGAAGGATCAGGCGCGCGGCGCCCTCGACGGCGTCGGCCTGGCCACCCGCGAGCACGCCCGCGCCCAGACCAGCGTTGGGATCCTGGGTGTAGCGATCGACGGTCGCGTTGGCATGGTGGCCACCGCCCTGGAGAACATGTGGAATATTGATCGCCTGCTCACCAGGCTGCTGGATCGCGGGGCTGCATCTGGGCACCAGCCCGAGTCGACTGTAGACCGCCTCGCGTTCATTTTCATGCTCCGCCGCCCTCTGTTGTCGGTTTTGTCTGCTACCTATCAGTTCATGAGGGGCGTGGGTGGGGGGCAGGTCGACCTCTGGCCCTCCGTGCGGGCCGAGCATAGTGCCGCGCCTGCGTTACTTCCATTCGCCTTCGCTCAGTGGAAATTGCCCTGGCACCGCGAGGTGGTTGCGACGGGTGCCTGCCCTACAGGGCGGGGGGTGGTCGAGAGTATCTGGGGCGAGAAAAACGTAAAAGAGGTGGGGATGGTCGACGAGCGGCTGCGTTTTCGGGTTCGGCAAGATATGGCTCACCGGGCTCACGCTCTTGCAGGTTCTCGAGACGCCCTAGAGGACGGGTGCGCCATCTACGCTCCCAAAGGCACCAACGACCCCGACGAGGTTTTGGGGGGGGTCCGAGTTCCCCGACATCAGCCCCGACTGGATCCTCAAGGCCCCCTGGAAGTACGTGTACTCTGGTAGTTATTTCACCCGGGAGGGGCCCGTCCGCATCCTGGAGGCCAAGGGAATGATCTGGGCCCTTCGGCGGCTCGTGAAACGTCCCGGGGTCGAAGGCCGTCACATTGTGTTCTTGGGTGACAACTTGGGGCAGATCCTGGCCTCCTGCAGGGGCAGGGCAGGGCAGGGCCTCCGACTTCAAAACGAACATCTGCTGTCGAAGGTTGCGCCCTATCCCTGGCCAGGAACGTCCTCTGCCATGTTCGCCGGTTGCCGTCTGAGCTCAATCCCGCGGACGGGCCGTCGCGACGATTTGAGCCCGGACCGCGGAGGCTGAAGGGGGATGGCGGCGCCGCCCGAGCCGACTGTCAGCCCGAGGCGGTGCGAGGTGCGGCGGCTGGCGAGCGACGGCCGCCGCGCCCGCGAGAAGCTGACGACGCCGCGACCAGCCAGGCAGCGGCCGGTGGCGCGCTTGCCCCGGGGCGAGCCGGCAGCGCAGCCAGCCGAGACGAGGAGGCGGACTGCGACGTTGATCAGGCAGGATCGCTTCTCGGTGGAGGCCGCGTTCCTCGGGCACTCGTTGCTCGAGGCGAAGGCGGTGGGCGAGAAGGTCCACAAACGGTGCCTCGGGTTGATGGAGGAGTTCGCGCGGGGCTGCGCGAGGCTCGGGCCCTCGCTCAACTCCCCAGAGGAGATCGACTTCGCGCCAATCGAGGTGTTCGACGAGAGGTTCTTCAACGGGACGGACGGGGGCGTCGGGCACTTCCGGCTGGCCGCCATCAAGGGCCTCCGCCGGGAGTTTGGGCGGGCTGGCATGTTCTGGCTGTCCCGGGCCCACCGCGCCCTCCAGGGCTGGGGCCGCCTGGCACCTGGGCAGTCGCGCCTCCCGGAGGCGCGCCCCGCGTGGGCCGCCGCGATGGTCGAGCTGGCACGGGCAAGCTTCCTCGCGACGGCGATCGAGATGCTGGTCGCCCTCGTGACCTACGGGCGCCCAGGGGGGATCCACCAGCTGAAGGCGAAGTGGCTCATCCCGCCGTTGGCAACCGTGGGGCCGCACTGGGCGATCGTCATCCGGCCGCCCAAGGAGTTGCGGCCGACCAACGTAGGCATCTACGACAACACCGTGGTCTGGAACAGGGAGGGCGCGCGGATCATCCAGCTGCTCGTGGACCTCAAGCGCGGAAAAGAAGACCGCGACCCCCAGTCTGGCTACCGCTGCGCGAGCTGCCTGAAGCAGGTCAAGACCGCGCGCAAGCGGCTCGGCCTTACCAAGTTGGTGCCCTACCGACTCAGGCACAGTGGGGCGTCGTGGGATTGCCTGCCTTTGAGGAGGACGTTCGACGAGGTCATGAAGCGAGGTCAGAGGGGCAGCCACAAGAGTGTCGTCCGCTACCAGAAAGGGCAGCCGCGTGCAGGTGCAGTGGCAGCGCCCGCCCAAGAGTTTCAAGCTGGTCGCGATGTGGTGCGTGGCCAACCTGTGCCGCGCCCTCCTCGACGGCCCCCCCGCCCCCGCGGCCCCTTCTCTTCCGCGGAGTGGGATTTTGAGGGCGTCTACGCCGGCTGTGGCGGCGTCTCGGCTGAAGTGATAAACTTTGGGGGCCGATCGACGAAGACAGATGTTGCGTTCGGCCCGGATCGGGACTCGTTGGTAAACAAGAATCAACGGAGAGTACTGCATATAGTTCGATTTGGCGGAGTCAAAGGGGTGATGATAGCGACGCCTTGTCTATCCCTCAGTCGGGCGCGTCGTGGTTCCCCCCCCCCCCTGCGCCCCAACGAGCACCCGCGGGGCTTATGCAACCTCAGCGACGCTGACAACGAGAAGGTGAGAGTTGGGAACATACTGATTAGATTCACGATTAAGTTGTTCCGCCTGTGCCTGAGAATGGGAATCCCATGCGTCGTCCAGAACCCTCCCACCTCCATGTTCTGGATCTTGCCCGAAGTATTGAGGCTGCTCGCCTGTCCCCATGTAAGTACTCAGCGTGCTGACTTCTGCCAGTTCGGAACCGGGTGGAGAAAACCAGCCACATTCATGCTGTGTAATATTCCTGATGAGATTTCGAGATCCTTAGAGCCTTTTAAGTGTGCGGGGAGGGGTGTGTGCTCTAACACGGGCCGCCCGCACCTTGAGCTGTCTGGTAAAGCCCCGAACGGAAAGTTCTGGACACTGATTGCCCAGCCTTGCCCGTGCCTCTGGTCAGGGACGTTTTTAGCTACTCCCGAATGTGTCGTTTCCAGGGCATAATGGTCTCGGGGCACATCGTGGTCTTGGGTCTCTGGAGGAGCTTTCGGGGCCCTCGCCAGCTGTGAATCGTTTGCGAGAGGCGTGTCTCATCAGTGCTGCACACCGCATGCGATAGAAGTGTCTGCGCGAAAACGTTCCGCCCTCATCGCGCTGTCTTTGACTGGAATGAGAGCAAGTGGGAATTGCGAGCTGGGAAGCGTCCGCGGCCCATTTCTGTTCAAAGTTTTCCCACTTAGATTTCTTGTGACCCCCGCGGAAGCCCAACCCTTGTGTCCCTGACCTTGCAAAGAGGGTCTCTGGAGGAGCTTTCAGGGCCCTCGCCAACTGTAAAGCGTTCGAGAGAGGCGTGTCTCATCAGTGCTGCACACCGCATGATTTAGAAGTGCCTGCACGAAAACGTTCCGCCCTCATTATGATGCTGATGACGATAATGAGGGTGATGGGGATGATGATGATGATGATGATGGCGATGACGGTGATGGTGATGATGATGCTGTTGAGGATGAAGATGAAGCTGAGGATGACAATGCTGCTGATGATGCGGGTGCTAATGATGCTGATGATAATGAAGATGTTGTTGGTGGTGGTTGTGTTGGTGATGATGGTGTTGATGCTGATGACGGCGCTGCTGACGATGATGATGAGGATGAGGATGATGCTGCTGATGAGGAGGAGGATGATGATGCTAATGAGGATGATGACGAGTACGAGGCTTGCGATGACGCTGCCGCTGATGATGATGATTATGATGATGGTGATGGTGTGGTTGATGTTGCTGATGAGGAGGAGGATGATCATGATGATGATGAACATGATGGTGATGCTGTTGGTGGAGGTGGTGGTTGTGGTGATGATGGTGATGCGGATGACGATGACGATGCTGCTTATGGTGATGATGATGCTGGGGTTGAGGGTGACGGTGGGGATGTGGATGACGATGCTGATGCTGATGGTGATCGTGATGCTGATCATGCTGGTGTCGATAAGGATGATGATGATGATGACGCTGATGTTGAGGATGATGAGGAAGATGACGATGATGATGCTGATGATGTTGGTGATGGTGATGCTGATCTTGATGATGGTGATGGTGATGGTGCTGATGATGAGGATGAGGATGAGGATGATGATGATGATGATGATGATGGCGATGCTACTGATGACCATGATGGCGACGATGATGATGATGGTGATGCTGCGGGTGATCCCGATGATGATGATGATGATGATGATGATGATGATGATGATGATGATGATGATGATGATGATGATGATGATGACGCTGTCACTGATAAGGATGATGATGATGACGAGGCTGAGGATGAGGATGCCGATCGCGATGATGATGATGATGATGATGATGCTGCTGCTGATGATGATGATGATGCTGATGGTACTGGTGGTGATGATAATGATGATGATGATCATGACGACGATGACGTTGCTGATGATGATGAGGCTGCTGCTGCTGCTGGTGTTGATGATCGTGCTGATGAGGGTGATGATGATGAGGCCGAAGAGGGGGATGAGGAGGATGAGGATGATGCGGATGAGGATGAGGTTGAGGATGCTGCTGATGATGATGATGATGATGATGATGATGATGATGATGATGATGATGATGGTGATGATGATGATGAGGAGGAGGAGGAGGAGGTGGAGGAGGACGTGGATGCGGATGTGGCTTGCGCTGACGCTGCTGCTGATGATGCGGATGGTAATGCGGAGGATGAGGATGAGGAGGGTAGTGTTGGTGGTGGTGATGATGATGATGATGATGATGATGATGATGATGATGATGACCATGATGATGATGACGATGATGATTTTGGTACTGATGACGATCATGATGCTGAAACTGCTGCTGCTGATGGGGACGAGTGCGACGACGACGACAACGACCATGATGCTGCTGATCATGATGATGCTGATGACGAGGATGGTGCTGGTGATGAGAATGAGGATGATGATGATGATGATGATGATGACAATGATAATGATGATGATGATGATGATGATGATGATGATGATGATGATGATGATGATGATGATGATGATGATGATGACGACGATGATGATGATGATGATGATGATGATGATGATGATGATGATGATGATGATGCCGGGGCAGACGATGTTGCTGGTGGTGGCGGCGATGGTGATGGCGGTGGTGATGATGCTGAGGATGATGATGAGGATGAGAAGTAGGCGGACGACGCTGACGATGATTATGCTGATGGTGGCGGTGATGGTGGTGGTGGCGGTGGTGATGATGCTGAGGATGATGATGAGGATGATGATGAGGATGAGAGGTAGGCTGATGACGCGGACGATGATGATGCTGGTGGCGGCAATGGTGGTGGTGGTGGTGATGATGATTATGGTGATTGATCTGGTGATGGTTTGTGATGCTGATGATGACGCAGCTTGCGCGGACGATGAGGATGATGCTGCTGCTCATGATGATGAGGATGATGAGGATGATGATGCTCAGGATGAGGATGCGGATGAGGATGGGGATGGCGATGCTGAGGATGATGATGCTGTTGGTGGTGGTGGTGATGCTGATGATGATGATGATGACGACGATGACGATGACGATGACGATGACGATAACGACGATGAGGATGATGATGATGATGATGATGATGCTGATGATGATGATGGTGATGATGATTGTGATGATGATATTGATGATGCTTATTAGGATGTGGATGATGACGAGGACGAGAATTGGGGTGACGAGCGCGATGTTGATGATGCTGATGATGATGATGATGCTGATTGTGGTGGTTGTGACGATGATGAGCATGCCGACGACGATGATGCTGCTGCTGATGCTGATGATGATGATGATGATGATGATGATGCTGATGATGATGATGGTCGTGGTGAGGATGATGCGGAGGAGGACGAGGAGGAGGAGGAGGATGAGGCGGACGAGGACGATGCGGATGAGGATGAAATGGAGGATGCGGATGATGATGAGGAGGAGGAGGAGGAGGAGGAGAAGGATGAGGAGGAGCAGGCGGAGGATGAGGATGGGGGTGCGGCTTGCGATGACGCTGCTGATGATGAGGATTGTAATGCTGAGGATGCGGATGGGGAGGGTAATGTTGGTGGTGGTGGTGATGGTGGTGATGGTGGTGATGATCATGATCATGATGTCGACGATCATGATGTTGACAATGCTGCTGCTCATCAGGACGATGGCGACGACGACGAGCACCACGATGATACCGCTGACGATGATGCTGATGATGAGGATGGTGCTGATGATGATGAGGATGATGATGCCGAGGCAGACGATTTTGCTGGTGGTGGCGGCGATGGTGGGATGAGGAGTAGGCTGATGACGCGGACGATGATGATGATGCTGGTGGTGGCGGCGATGGTGGTGGTGATGGTGGCGATGATGATGCTGATTATGATGATCGGTCTGGTGATGATATGTGATGTTGATGATGTTGAGGCTTGTGCGGACGAAGACGATGATGATGCTGCTCATGATGATTGTGGTGATGAAGAACATGATGATGCGGATGAGGATGATGACGAGGATTATGCTGCTGATGTTGATGCTGATGGCACTCCTGCTGCTGCTGATGATGATGACGATGACGACGATGATGATGACGATGATGATGATAGGTTTGATGCCGATGATGCTGATGCTGCTGCTGCTGATGATGATGGTAACGACGATGATTATGATGGTGAGGAGGAGGATAACCACGGCGATGCTGATGCTGGTTGTGGCGGTGGCGATGGTGGTTGTGGTCGAAGTGGTGATTACTAAGATGCTGCTGCTGATAATGATGATGCTGATGATGCTGCTGCTGATGATGATAATGATGACCATGATGACGATGGTGATGATGCTGCTGCTGGTGATGGTAAGACTTTGGATTATGATGCTGCTGCTAATGATGATAATGATGCTGACTGTGATGATGATGATGATGATGATGATGATGATGATGGTGATGGC